CCTCCTTCCACAATAGATAGCCAGATGTGAGGCAGTGTTTGAATAATACTGCATATTCTGCAGGCAAATTGTTATATGCGAACATTCTAGATCGTCCCCGCGATTATATTAGATTTGATAAAACACAAATCATTCCTACAAAGGATTATACGCGACGCTTATAAAATTAAAAAACATACTAATTTCAATAAAGAAGATGGATGACTGTTGCTATCTGCTTGAAATCCTATAATTAAGAATATATATATATATATATATATATATATATATATATATATATATATATTTTTTTTAATATTTCATCAAAATATAAAAGGCTTGTTAAGTAAATTGGACAATTTGGAAATATGTATTAACCATTTTGCTAAAAACAATAAGGAATTAGACGAGCGAGCGTCATGTCGGGCACAAATTTGTCCCCTTGACTACGTTACACGTTTTGGGTTTATAGAACTCCTTATAATTCGTACTTACCTGTATTTATGAATGTATTAGATATTCTCTTGTTTAGGCTAACTAGGAATGGAAAAAGAAAAATAATTCTTGCCGGTGATCTGAATATTGGGACACTGAAAAATAATAACGTAACTAAGCAACTTAAAATCGAACTGGAAACTTATAATCTAAGCCTTCATATCGACGTTTCTACAAGGCTTAAGTCATGTATTGACCATTTTGCTAGTAATATCGAAGACACTGTAGATAGGTTCCATTATCTCTATTTTTCTGACCACGATACTGCTCAAACCTTAGAATTTAGTAGTATTTAAAAAAAACGAAAAATGAATCACTGGTTAAAAAAGCTTAATAAATAAGTAAACGAAATATAAATATAAATTCAAGGAGTGCATTTCTAATTTCAGTTGGAGTGACGTCTATATACATAAAACTGACTTGAATACGTCGCATTTAATAACTTTCACGAAGATATAGGCTTATGCTTTAAACTTCTTTTCTTGAGAAGAGGATTAAAGTAAAATTAAATGATGTGCGACCGAAATGGATAACAAAAGGCATAGCAATATACAGTGCAAAAAACATAAACTCAGGTCGTTTAACTATAGAGATTTACCTTCGAAAATAAGCTCAGATTGAAAAAATACACTAAATTATTATGAAAATATATCAACGAATCAAAGAGAATACACAATAATAGAATAATTAAAAACGCTAAAAATAAATGCAAATCAGCCTTGGACGTAATCAAGGATAATCCTGATGGAATGAAAGAATATAATAAAATCATAAGATAATGATAAATAATGAGAGAATTGATGATCCTGATAAAATTGCTAGAGCCTTTAATCATTATTTTTTAAATTTTAATAATAAACAAAATAATATCGTAGTCCTATTGCAATGTTACGTCAATAATGTATGTAGCAGCTTATTCTTATTGCCTTTTTCTGAGCATGAAATTCTTAATATAGTTTAACCCCTCAGGCCCCAGCTAAAAATGATTAACAACGCTCGCTTGCTTCGCGTGGCGCGGCTTTTCTAAAAATAGTCTAACATTGAATTTGTCATACATTTACTTTCACTAATAATCGTTATAAATTTCAATATAATACTTGTTTCTGTTTATTTATTATGATATACTACTTGTTTTAGTATTTTTAATTCATGACAAACAGATTTTAATTGTATTTTCGTAGTTAAAAATGTACGTACCCAGTACAGGATATTTACGTAAAAAGATTGATTATATACATACAGACTTTTATAACAATTTTATAATAAAACACTATACTAAACACTAATAAAACATTACAAAAATCCACAAATCAACACAATAACACGTCACACGAAATACGAGTACGAAACAAACATAGATTATAAATAAAAAATCATAAACTAACTACTTTTTATTGCAATAGAGGATAGGAAATTTCACATTGAGCCTATAATGCCTAACTTCTTCATAGACAAGTAGTCTATAAATATAAGTTTTTATGGGTTAAAGTGCTGTGGGTGGGTGCGGTCTCATGAGACCGCTAGGGATTTGACCGAATACGGCCGCGGGCTCTTGCGACCGCTCGGGGGCTGAGAGGTTAAACTTTAAATAACTCTAAATCTGTAGGTATTGACTTACTGCCTAAATTATTTTTTAAGTCATGTATATTTCAACTTGCACTCGTTTTGAGCTTCCTCATAAACATTTGAGATTCCCGATTAGGAGTATTCCCGATTAGGAGTATTCCCGAAAGCTCTAAAGCGATCTATAGTAAAGCCTTTACATAAGAAAAATAGTACTGAAGATATGGGCTATTACCGTGCAATAACTATCGTCCCTATACTTTGAAATTTTTTTGAAAAGGCAATGATAAAAAGAAATATAGATTTTTTAATAAGCATAGTGTAATAGCTGAAGAGCAAAACGGTTTCTAAGCGAATAAATCGACAACTTTTGCAGCCTACTCTTTAATAAAAACAATTCTGTCTCGCTTGCCCTTACACGTAAGTGCAAGTGCAAGACTTAATTCTATGAGTCATAGCAACTAATGCAAAGAACCTAAAACTAAATATGACGCATAGAATCATACTGTATCGTAATTTTGAATGTGTTTTGTTTAATACCGAAAATGGATAAAAAATTAACTACTTTCTACAATTTTATGGATATTTTAAGATAGGTCTGAAATCGGCCAAATCAGCTTGAAAACGAATTATTTTTCTTTACATTAATCGAACAGACGAATTATTAAAAAAAATTTAATTGAGTAATTTGAATTAAATCTACCTTCTGTGAGAAAATAAATAATAGCACAAAAAATTAAAATAAAAGTACCAAATATTATACCATCTTGAAATCCAAAATCTTGAAAATACCAAACCTTAATAAGTACTGAAAAAAAATAGTATAGTATAGTAGGCATATCATTCGGCATCAAAAATATTGATGCAAACTGTGATTTTCTGGAAAATTTATAAATCAACCTTTATCTTTACCATGCAACTTGGTTATATGACTGAATTTTTGAACAGTTTTTTCATAGTCTACAACCCGCTATCGTTTGATCGTTAGGTTCTGGGACAGTCTGTATACTGTACTGTACCTTGCGAGTGTTTGTAAGTTATCGCCATGATCGCCTGTAAGAACAACAGAGCACGGTTAATAGAGTGGATTTAAATATAATGCCATTGTTTATGCAGTGGGCTCCGAAATACAAAAGCGTAACGAGGTGTGAAAGTAGACGGTAATTTGCAAAGTCATCAACATCTTTTGAATATTAATTTTCAAAAGCCTTTTTATTTTAATAAAATAACATTAATTATTTAATGCAAAGTAATTAAAGAAAAAAACCTATAAAGTTATTGAACTTTTTTGTTTAAGTAGAAGAATTTGTCCTTGTAATTTTATTCCCTTAAACCCTTTGCTTAAGATTGTATAATATTAATTGCTTAATGATTTAACAGGGGTGCGCTCTATATCCGGTAGCGGCACTTTATTTTGTTTTCTTTTTTACACTTTTAAAGGCTCTTATAACGCGTTAACATTTATATTTCCGTCAAATATAGCTTGTAGTCGTGGTAACTAGGAGTCGCTCGCTGTAAATATAATTATACGCGAGCAACTAGGCTTCGATCCCCGCAGGCATTAATGAAATTGTTAATTGTAGTTTTAAGTTCTGATTTATTACGTGATTGGTAGTGAAGGAGAACGAACGTCCCGCTACAGGAGAGTATGGTTACGGCATTAGAAGCGCTCGAGGCACGAGACTGATTCAATACGCGCAAGAGTACAACCTGAAAATTTTGAATACAATGTTCAAACTAAAACCAAAAAACCGCTGGACATGGATCTCCCCAGATAAAAACACAAGAAATGAAATTGACTATATCATGACCACGAAGAACCACATGATCTCCAAATATGAAGTACTACCATCTTTCTCTTTTGGATTGGATCACAGTACACAATGTGGACAACAATACACCTAAATTCAACAAAAAAAAGTAGGCGCAATTTCTCAAATACATCTACTAAGTTAAAAACTCTAGCAGAGCAGGAATTGTACCTTACAAACCTCCACCGCTTTATACCAGAACTTATAAAGAATCAAAACAATTATAATGCGGAGGAATACTATCAACAAATCATGCACTGTATCAAGATAAGCCTAAAAAATATAAAAGGAACACATAAGAACAAAATCCTATCCGCGAAAGCGCTAGAACTCATGAAAGAAAGAAGCGAACTACAAAATAGGCCCCAATTAAGCGTAGCTGATAAAGAAAAACTAAAAACTTTGTACAAACTTACCAACAAAGAAATAAAAAGGTGCTACGTTACCTACAGAACAACAACCATACAAAGACACCTCAATAATACTAGATCTGCCAAAAAAGCTTATAAAGAGCTAAATCAAGCCAAAATATGGGTTCTTTTTCTCAAGTCGGGCAACAAAAATTGCAAATCTCGCACAGAAATCATAAATGCTGCTACTGACTTCTACGCTAATCTATACAGACATTCAGACACACAAAATCAAAATATGGTTTCCTATAGCTACATAGATACCTCTCCGACACACCAGTTTACAGAAAATGAAATATTGAAACAAATAATGAGACTTAAGCTAGAAAAAAGCCCAGCACCGGATGGAATCACCAACGAATGTATCAAGGTTGCGAAGACTCTACTACTGACACCAATCACTATCCTATGGAATAAAATACTTGATGAAGAAGCTGTGCCACATCAATGGATGACATCGGAAATTATACTACTATATAAAAAAGGTGACCCAGCTGATATAGGCAACTATCGTCCTATAAGCCTAATGCCTTGTTTTTATAAACTTTTTGCCTCCTGTCTACTTGAAAGGATAGCTCCAGCCATTGATGCTCACCAACCGATCGAACAAGCCGGTTTCAGAAGCGGTTTCAGCACGATGGATCATATCCAAGTGGTTGACCAGGTGATAGAAAAATATTCAGAATTTAATATACCCCTGTATTTAGCTTTCATAGACTACAAAAAAGCTTTTGATTCAATTTCACACGAGAGCATCTGGGAATCGCTGAAAGCAATAAACACAAATAAAAAGTATATCAATATCTTAAAAAATATTTATTCTAACAGCACAAGTAGAGTCAAACTAGATAGAGTAGGCGAAGAAATCAACATAAAGAGAGGTGTCCGGCAAGGAGACCCAATCTCACCAAAATTATTCATAGCTGTCTTACAACACGTAATGGGAGAGCTGCCATGGTTCAATCATGGTATTAATATAAATGGAAATTTTTTAAGTCATCTCAGATTTGCCGATGACATAATTTTATTTTCGGAAACCTCTCACCAAATAAACAAAATGGTAAATGAATTAAACCAGGCTAGTATAACAGCTGGTTTAGAAATGAATCTGGAAAAAACTAAAATTATGTCTAACCGCAGTGCAATGCCCATTTTAATAAATAACACACCTCTCGAGTTTGTTAACCAATACATATACTTAGGAAAACAAATCTCCTTTAGTAAGGATAGAAATACTGAGGAACTTAACCGAAGAGTGGCGATTACCTGGAACAAGTTCTGGCACCATAAAGAAATACTAAAATCGCAACTTCGGCTACCGACCAAGAAAATAGTCATGGATACTGGTCTTCTACCGTGCCTCACCTATGGATGCCAAACTTGGACTTTCGATCTCAAAACCAGGAACAAAATTCAGACTACCCAGAGAAGAATGGAAAGGAGTTGCTTAGGTATAAAATTGAAGGATAAGGTAAAGAACGTTGACATTCGAAAGAAGACCAAAGTATGCGATGCCTTAACTTTTGCAATGAAGTCCAAATGGAAATGGGCGGGTCACGTAGCCCGTTATAAGGACGATAGATGGACTCTACGGGCAGTAAAGTGGTCTGGGCCAAAATGCACCAGATCAACAGGTCGACCAAAGGCCAGATGGGCAGATGAAATTGTAGCGTGCGCGGGTGGTAGTTGGCTAGACAGAGCTATTGACAAAAAAGGGTGGCATACCTTGGGGGAGGGCTTTTACCCGAACGGGGTCCATGCATTTAATAATTAGGTAGTTGATAATTGAAGCAAATAATAATAAAAAAAATTAAACTAATTACTATATATAACTAACTAAAATAATAAGTATACAAATGTAATTGAATGTTATAGGGAAACAAGTAAATGTATCGTTTAATATGTACTATGCATGGAATTAAATAAAGCTTTATTATTATTATTATGTGTGGGGTATCTATATAGTTTTCTCACCTGGTTGGGATGTATAAATATATAATTAAAAACGCAAATGAAAAGATAAATATACATAAATATCAATAAAATAAAATACATACGAAAATACATAAATAAATAAAAAGCCCAACCAGATGGAAGCCCTCGGCAGTGGAGACCAAACGGCCGAGGGTTAGGGTGAAAGGGAAAGAAACCGGCGGACGATGCGGGCGGTATCGAGGAGCACCGCCTTCTGCATTTGAGCCTGGAGCGGTCCGCCACGTAGTCCCAGCCGCCTCAGATGACCCGAGAGGCTGACTGGGATTAGCCCGTTTGCAGAGACGACTACAGGAATAATTTCGGTCGGCAGACCACCCCACATGGCGGTCACCTCGTGAGCCAGGTCCAGATATTTTGTTTGCTTGTCTGTTTCGGCTTTCACGAGGTTCTCGTCATACGGAATGGTAATGTCGACCAAAAATATCCTTGACTGTGCCCGGTCCATCAGCACAATATCAGGCTTGTTCGCAAGAATAGTCTTGTCTGTGATGATGGCCCGGTCATAATAGAGCCTGGCGCGATCATTTTCGAGCACGGCTTCCGGCAAGTACTTGTAATACGGCAACTTCCGATTCACGAAACCGTATTTCAGAGCGAGCTCCTGGTGAAGAATTCTGGCTACTAGGTTGTGCCTGTGCAAGTACTCAGAGTTAGAAAGCGCCGAACAACCGGAGATGACATGCCTAAGTGACTCACCGGGATGGCGACAAGCTCGACAGATGTCGATGGTGCCATCCTTTAGGATGTATCTCCGATAGTTGTTGGTCTTAATAACCTGATCCTGTATTGCACAGAAAAAAACCCTCGGTTTCCCCGAAGAGGTCACCAAAGCGTAGCCAGTGGAGGGAGGTTACTGTGTCTACGAAAGGCCCATGTAGAGACTTGTAGAACCTCCCGTGGAGCTCCTTCTCCTTCCATACGGTCTCCCGGTCGGAAATTGTCTGCACTGCCGGGTCTTGCCATTGCTCGTTGGCTAAGGATAGAGGGGGTAAGTCATATAGAAAAGGTGGGTCACTTTTGTCCCTCCTTTCCGTAGCTGAAATCCCCTCCCGGAGCCCTCCAGTAAGGTACTGAGAGGGTTCAGAGAGAGGCAGAACCATATTGGACTCAGACAATCGCCCTGGAAGATACCCCTTCTTATCCTTATGTGGTTCTCCGCAGCCATCATCCGCTCGCCCAGATGACAAAGGATCGTACTCCACTGCCCCATACACTGCTCGAGGAAGTCTCTAACTGTACAGTCTATCTTGTACAGTTCGAGGACTCTCTTTAGCCATGTAGAGGGCACCGAGTCGAATGCCTTTCTGTAGTCTATCCAGGCGGCGGAGAAATTCCGACGGTTGCGTTTCACCACTTTGCCAATGACCGCGTCAATGAGGAGTGGTTCCTTGGTTCCACGACCGCCGCCCCGACATCCATTTTGAGCGCGCGACATCACCTGATTTGAGTCCAGTTGACGAGTGATTCTCGCGCTCAAAATGGATGTTAGTGTCTTGTATATGGTCGGTAGACATGTGATGGGGCGGTATTTGCTCGGGTCTGTGGTACCCTGGCCTTTAGGAACCAAATGGGTGATCCCAGTAGTGAAGAGGCTCGGGAGCGACTTCTGTTTGAGAACCTCTTGAAACTGTCGGGCGAGCACAGTGTGACACACCACGAACCCCTTCAGCCAGTAGTGATGCAGCCCGTCGAGTCCCGGACTTTTCCAGTTCGGGGCTCTACGGACCGCCTCAGCTACGTCATCCGGCGTTATGGTGACGGGGTCCATGGGCGTAATACCCGCACACTGACTCGCCACAACTTCCGTCCAAGGGCCCTCGTTGTGGTTTACGGGCTCTGACCACAGGCTGCGCCAGAATGCGACCGTGTCGGCCTGATTCGGTACTGGGCCCGTTCCACTTACCATTGGTCGCTCCAATGATTTATAGAGCCTCTTCTGATCACTCTGGAAGAGACGATTCTGGTTGAACCTTGTCGACCTCTCGGTATATCGCCGAATTCTCTTTTTCGCTTTCCCCAAGCAGCGATTCTCTGCTTCAGGTCGTCTATGCGCTTTATTATTATTATTTCTGTGGGGTATCTATATAGTTTTCTCATCTGGTTGGGTTCTATAAATATATAATTATAAATGAAAATGAAAAGATAAATATACATAAATATCAATAACATAAAATAAATATAAAAGTACATAAATAAGTAAAAGCCCAACCAGATGGAGGCCCTCGGCAGGGGAGACCAAACGGCCGAGGGTTAGGGGGAAAGGGAAAGAAACCGGCGGACGATGCGGGCGGTATCGAGGAGCACCGCCTTCTGCATTTGAACCTGGAGCGGTCCGCCACGTAGTCCCAGCCGCCTCAGATGACCCGAGAGGCTGACTGGGATTTGCCCGTTTGCAGAGACGACTACAGGAATAATTTCGGTCGGCAGACCACCCCACATGTCGGTCACCTCGTGAGCCAGGTCCAGATATTTTGTTTGCTTGTCTGTTTCGGCTTTCACGAGGTTCTCGTCACACGGAATGGTAATGTCGACCAAAAATATCCTTGACTGTGCCCGGTCCATCAGCACAATATCAGGCTTATTCGCAAGAATAGTCCTGTCTGTGATGATGGCCCGGTCCCAATAGAGCCTGTCGCGATCATTTTCGAGCACGGCTTCCGGCAAGTACTTGTAATACGGCAATTTCCGATCCACGAGACCGTATTTCAGAGCGAGCTCCTGGTGTAGAATTCTGGCTACTAGGTTGTGCCTGTGCAAGTACTCAGAGTTAGAAAGCGCCGAACAACCGGAGATAACATGCCTAAGTGACTCACCAGGATGGCGACAAGCTCGACAGATGTCGATGGTGCCATCCTTTAGGATGTATCTCCGATAGTTGTTGGTCTTAATAACCTGATCCTGTATTGCACAGAAAAAACCCTCGGTTTCCCCGAAGAGGTCACCAAAGCGTAGCCAGTGGAGGGAGGTTACTGTGTCTACGAAAGGCCCATGTAGAGACTTGTAGAACCTCCCGTGGAGCTCCTTCTCCTTCCATACGGTCTCCCGGTCGGAAATTGTCTGCACTGCCGGGTCTTGCCATTGCTCGTTGGCTAAGGATAGAGGGGTAAGTCATATAGAAAAGGTGGGTCACTTTTGTCCCTCCTTTCCGTAGCTGAAATCCCCTCCCGGAGCCCTCCAGTAAGGTACTGAGAGGGTTCAGAGAGAGGCAGAACCATATTGGACTCAGACAATCGCCCTGGAAGATACCCCTTCTTATCCTTATGTGGTTCTCCGCAGCCATCATCCGCTCGCCCAGATGACAAAGGATCGTACTCCACTGCCCCATACACTGCTCGAGGAAGTCTCTAACTGTACAGTCTATCTTGTACAGTTCGAGGACTCTCTTTAGCCATGTATGGGGCACCGAGTCGAATGCCTTTCTGTAGTCTATCCAGGCGGCGGAGAAGTTCCGACGGTTGCGTTTCACCACTTTACCAATGACCGCGTCAATGAGGAGTGGTTCCTTGGTTCCACGACCCCCGCCCCCGACATCCATTTTGAGCGCGCGACATCACCTGATTTGAGTCCAGTTGACGAGTGATTCTCGCGCTCAAAATGGATGTTAGTGTCTTGTATATGGTCGGTAGACCTGTGATGCGGCGGTATTTGCTCGGGTCTGTGGTACCCTGGCCTTTAGGAACCAAATGGGTGATCCCAGTAGTGAAGAGGCTCGGGAGCGACTTCTGTTTGAGAACCTCTTGAAACTGTCGGGCGAGCACAGTGTGACACACCACGAACCCCTTCAGCCAGTAGTGATGCAGCCCGTCGAGTCCCGGACTTTTCCAGTTCGGGGCTCTACGGACCGCCTCAGCTACGTCATCCGGCGTTATGGTGACGGGGTCCATGGGCGTAATACCCGCACACTGACTCGCCACAACTTCCGTCCAAGGGCCCTCGTTGTGGTTTACGGGCTCTGACCACAGGCTGCGCCAGAATGCGACCGTGTCGGCCTGATTCGGTACTGGGCCCGTTCCACTTACCATTGGTCGCTCCAATGATTTATAGAGCCTCTTCTGATCACTCTGGAAGAGACGATTCTGGTTGAACCGTGTCGACCTCTCGGTATATCGCCGAATTCTCTTTTTCGCTTTCCCCAAGCAGCGATTCTCTGCTTCAGGTCGTCTATGCGCTTTATTATTATTATTTCTGTGGGGTATCTATATAGTTTTCTCATCTGGTTGGGTTCTATAAATATATAATTATAAATGAAAATGAAAAGATAAATATACATAAATATCAATAACATAAAATAAATATAAAAGTACATAAATAAGTAAAAGCCCAACCAGATGGAGGCCCTCGGCAGGGGAGACCAAACGGCCGAGGGTTAGGGGGAAAGGGAAAGAAACCGGCGGACGATGCGGGCGGTATCGAGGAGCACCGCCTTCTGCATTTGAACCTGGAGCGGTCCGCCACGTAGTCCCAGCCGCCTCAGATGACCCGAGAGGCTGACTGAGATTTGCCCGTTTGCAGAGACGACTACAGGAATAATTTCGGTCGGCAGACCACCCCACATGTCGGTCACCTCGTGAGCCAGGTCCAGATATTTTGTTTGCTTGTCTGTTTCGGCTTTCACGAGGTTCTCGTCACACGGAATGGTAATGTCGACCAAAAATATCCTTGACTGTGCCCGGTCCATCAGCACAATATCAGGCTTATTCGCAAGAATAGTCCTGTCTGTGATGATGGCCCGGTCCCAATAGAGCCTGTCGCGATCATTTTCGAGCACGGCTTCCGGCAAGTACTTGTAATACGGCAATTTCCGATCCACGAGACCGTATTTCAGAGCGAGCTCCTGGTGTAGAATTCTGGCTACTAGGTTGTGCCTGTGCAAGTACTCAGAGTTAGAAAGCGCCGAACAACCGGAGATAACATGCCTAAGTGACTCACCAGGATGGCGACAAGCTCGACAGATGTCGATGGTGCCATCCTTTAGGATGTATCTCCGATAGTTGTTGGTCTTAATAACCTGATCCTGTATTGCACAGAAAAAACCCTCGGTTTCCCCGAAGAGGTCACCAAAGCGTAGCCAGTGGAGGGAGGTTACTGTGTCTACGAAAGGCCCATGTAGAGACTTGTAGAACCTCCCGTGGAGCTCCTTCTCCTTCCATACGGTCTCCCGGTCGGAAATTGTCTGCACTGCCGGGTCTTGCCATTGCTCGTTGGCTAAGGATAGAGAGGTAAGTCCTTTATCACATGAAATGACGTCCTTATAGAATGGATCATCCGATCTCGCCAGGAAGTAATTACGGAGGCTGCACACTTCGCGATTATGCATGGTGAGCGCGCTCAAGAAGCCACGCCCACCATGCTTTCGCGGCAAGTACAGCCTCATTACCGACGATCTCGGATGATGCATCCTGTGTGACGTCATGGTAGTGCGGACTTTTCTATCCAGGGCGTTAAGTTCAGTCTGAGTCCACCTGAGTATGCCAAAGGTATACATAAGAACAGGCATGACCCAGCCGTTATATGCTTGTGTCTTATTCACACCGGACAAAAGGCTGTTAAGCACTTTGGTCAAGCGTGCATAAAACACGTCGCAAACTGACTGTTTCATACCAGCCTCATCGATACCAATGTTTTGTGACATACCCAGGTATCGGTATGTTTCAGCCTCGGAAAGGGTCCTTAAGTTGACGGGCATAGATAAGTCTATGCCCTCAGAGTTAGCAACCCTACCCCTTTCAACATGGAGTACCGCACACTTATCCATCCTCAGCTCCATTCCAATGGAATTGCTAAATTCACACGTCATCATCATCATCACAGCCCTTCACAAGTCCACTGCTGAACATAGGCCTCCCCCAAGTAATGCCACAAAGCACGGTCCTGAGCCACCTGCATCCATCGACTTCCTGCATATCTTACCAGGTCGTCACTCCATCTAGTGGGGGGTCGCCCTACACTACGCCTACCGGTACGAGGCTGCCACTCGAGAACCTTTCTTCCCCATCGGTTATCGGTTCTTCGAGCTATATGGCCGGCCCATTGCCACTTCAGCTTACTAATCCGTTGGGCTATGTCGGTCAATCTGGTTTTACTGCGGATATCCTCATTTCTGAGTCTATCACGCAGAGAAACTCCGAGCATAGCCCTCTCCATAGCTCGCTGAGCGACCTTGAGCGTCCTCATACGGCCAGCAGTGAAGGACCACGTCTCTGATCCGTAAGTCATCACTGGCAACACGCACTGGTTGTACACTTTAGTTTTCAGAGATTGAGGTATACCTGACGAGAAGATATGTCGTAATTTCCCGAACGCTGCCCAGCCGAGTTGAATCCGTCGATTGACCTCTCGGTCGAAGTTGGACTTACCTAGTCGGACTATTTGTCCCAGGTAAACGTACTCGTCAACAACTTCGAGCATAGTGCTCCCAACAACTACCGGCATAGGTGTGACATGGACATTAAACATAATCTTTGTTTTGTCCATGTTCATCTTAAGACCTATCCGTTGGGAGGCACTATTGAGGTCATTGAGCATAGTGCTTAAGTCCTCCAGCGATTCTGCCATAAGGACTATATCGTCGGCAAATCGAAGGTGAGTGATGTACTCGCCATTGATGTTAATACCGTATCCTTTCCAGTCCAGTAGCTTGAAAACGTCTTCCAAAGCAGCGGTGAAGAGTTTCGGGGATATAACGTCACCCTGTCTTACACCTCTCTGCAGTTGGATAGGTTTCGAGCTCTGGTTCTGTACTCGGATAGCCATCGTAGCCCTACTGTACAAACACTTCAGCACTTCAATATACCGACAGTCAACTTGGCACCGCTGAAGGGACTGCAGCACCGCCCAAATTTCGACGGAATCAAAGGCTTTCTCATAGTCCACATACGCCAGGCAAAGTGGCAAATTGTACTCTTCAGTCTTCTGTACAATCTGCCGCAGGGTATGTATGTGGTCTATGGTACTGAAGCCTTTTCGGAAACCGGCTTGTTCGGGAGGCTGGAAGTCGTCGAGTCTGCGTGCGAGACGATTCGTAATGACTCTCGAAAACAGCACGTAGACGCGGCTCAGAAGGGAAATCGGTCTGTAGTTCTTCAAGAGAGCGTTGTCGCCTTTCTTAAAGAACAAGACCACCGCACTTCTGCTCCACGCCTCCGGAGTAGTGCCACCATGGAGGACGGAATTGAAGAGCTTCTGAAGGACTTCAAGTACCGGTGTTCCACCCGCTTTCAGAAGCTCCGCTGTAATTCCATCCTCGCCTGGGGCCCTGCCGTTTTTAAGGTGCTGGAGAGCCATTCTAATCTCGCTTAGACTGACGTCCGGGATATCATCGGAATAGTGTCGGATAAGACTTGCTCTTGGATCGTTACTCACACTTGCGTGTGGCTCCAACGATGATGTGTACAGCTGCCCATAGAACCTCTCAATCTCACTCAAAATCTCAGGTGTCCCGGAAACGATGCTGCCACACTCAGTCTTCAGCCTTGACAGTTGGCTCTTTCTGGCAGATAGATCTCTGGCAAAGACTTTGGAGCCCTGGTTCCGCTCGATCGCTTCTTTAATACGAGCAGTATTAAAGTTGCGTAAGTCTCGCCGCATGCATTTGGAGATCTGTCTGTTCAGTTGCCTGTATGCTGTCAAATCTGTTGACGATTGCAGCCTCATCTCCCCGTCTAACAGCCATGAGATTAAGAGTTTTTAAGAGTTTTTCTCATTCACACGTGATGTTTAGCAATTCCATAAGATGGGAGCGCCTTGAGGCGAATAACATGAGGTCATCCATATAGAAAAGGTGGGTCACTTTTGTACCTCCTTTCCGTAGCTGAAATCCCCTCCCGGAGCCCTCCAGTAAGGTACTGAGAGGGTTCAGAGAGAGGCAGAACCATATTGGACTCAGACAATCGCCCTGGAAGATACCCCTTCTTATCCTTTTGTGGTTCTCCGCAGCCATCATCCGCTCGCCCAGATGACAAAGGATCGTACTCCACTGCCCCATACACTGCTCGAGGAAGTCTCTAACTGTACAGTCTATCTTGTACAGTTCGAGGACTCTCTTTAGCCATGTATGGGGCACCGAGTCGAATGCCTTTCTGTAGTCTATCCAGGCGGCGGAGAAGTTCCGACGGTTGCGTTTCACCACTTTGCCAATGACCGCGTCAATGAGGAGTGGTTCCTTGGTTCCACGACCGCCGCCCCGACATCCATTTTGATCGCGCGACATCACCTGATTTGAGTCCAGTTGACGAGTGATTCTCGCGCTCAAAATGGATGTTAGTGTCTTGTATATGGTCGGTAGACATGTGATGGGGCGGTATTTGCTCGGGTCTGTGGTACCCTGGCCTTTAGGAACCAAATGGGTGATCCCAGTAGTGAAGAGGCTCGGGAGCGACTTCTGTTTGAGAACCTCTTGAAACTGTCGGGCGAGCACAGTGTGACACACCACGAACCCCTTCAGCCAGTAGTGATGCAGCCCCTCGAGTCCCGGACTTTTCCAGTTCGGGGTTCTACGGACCGCCTCAGCTACGTCATCCGGCGTTATGGTGACGGGGTCCATGGGCGTAATACCCGCACACTGACTCGCCACAACTTCCGTCCAAGGGCCCTCGTTGTGGTTTACGGGCTCTGACCACAGGCTGCGCCAGAATGCGACCGTGTCGGCCTGATTCGGTACTGGGCCCGTTCCACTTACCATTGGTCGCTCCAATGATTTATAGAGCCTCTTCTGATCACTCTGGAAGAGACGATTCTGGTTGAACCGTGTCGACCTCTCGGTATATCGCCGAATTCTCTTTTTCGCTTTCCCCAAGCAGCGATTCTCTGCTTCAGGTCGTCTATGCGCTTTATTATTATTATTTCTGTGGGGTATCTATATAGTTTTCTCATCTGGTTGGGTTCTATAAATATATAATTATAAATGAAAATGAAAAGATAAATATACATAAATATCAATAACATAAAATAAATATAAAAGTACATAAATAAGTAAAAGCCCAACCAGATGGAGGCCCTCGGCAGGGGAGACCAAACGGCCGAGGGTTAGGGGGAAAGGGAAAGAAACCGGTGGACGATGCGGGCGGTATCGAGGAGCACCGCCTTCTGCATTTGAACCTGGAGCGGTCCGCCACGTAGTCCCAGCCGCCTCAGATGACCCGAGAGGCTGACTGGGATTTGCCCGTTTGCAGAGACGACTACAGGAATAATTTCGGTCGGCAGACCACCCCACATGTCGGTCACCTCGTGAGCCAGGTCCAGATATTTTGTTTGCTTGTCTGTTTCGGCTTTCACGAGGTTCTCGTCACACGGAATGGTAATGTCGACCAAAAATATCCTTGACTGTGCCCGGTCCATCAGCACAATATCAGGCTTATTCGCAAGAATAGTCCTGTCTGTGATGATGGCCCGGTCCCAATAGAGCCTGTCGCGATCATTTTCGAGCACGGCTTCCGGCAAGTACTTGTAATACGGCAATTTCCGATCCACGAGACCGTATTTCAGAGCGAGCTCCTGGTGTAGAATTCTGGCTACTAGGTTGTGCCTGTGCAAGTACTCAGAGTTAGAAAGCGCCGAACAACCGGAGATAAGGCAAGTACAGCCTCATTACCGACGATCTCGCATGATGCATCCTATGGGACGTCATGGTAGTGCGGACTTTTCTATCCAGGGCGTTAAGTTCAGTCTGAGTCCACCTGAGTATGCCAAAGGTATACATGAGGACAGGCATGACACAACCGTTATATGCGTGTGCCTTATTCACACCAGAAAAAAGGCTGTTAAGCACTTTGGTCAAGCGTGCATAAAACACGTCGCAAACTGACTGTTTCATACCATCCTCATCGACACCGATGTTCTGTGACATACCCAGGTATCGGTATGTTTCAGCCTCGGAAAGGGTTCTTAAGTTGACGGGCATAGATAAGTCTATGCCCTCAGAGTTAGCAACCCTTCCCCTTTCAACATGGAGGACCGCACACTTATCCGTCCCCAGCTCCATTCTAATAGAATTGCTAAATTCACACGTGATGTTTAGCAATTCCATAAGATTGGAGCGACTGGAGGCGAATAATTTGAGGTCATCCATATAGAAAAGGTGGGTCACTTTTGTACCTCCTTTCCGAAGCTGAAATCCCCTCCCGGAGCCCTCCAGTAAAGTACTGAGAGGGTTCAAAGAGAGGCAGAACCAGATTGGACTCAGACAGTCGCCCTGGAATATACCCCTTCTTATCCTTATGCGGCTTTCCGCAGCCGTCATCCGCTCGCCTAGATGACAGAGGATCGTACTCCACTGCCCCATACACTGCTCGAGGAAGTCTCAAACTGTACAGTCAATCTTGTACAGCTCGAGGACCCTCTTTAGCCATGTATGGGGCACCGAGTCAAATGCCTTTCTGTAATCTATCCAGGCGGCGGAGAAGTTCCGACGGTTGCGTTTCACCACTTTGCCAATGACCGCGTCAATGAGGAGTGGTTCCTTGGTTCCACGACCGCCGCCCCGACATCCATTTTGAGCGCGCGACATCACCTGATTTAAGTCCAGGTGACGAGCGATTCTTGCGCTCAAAATGAATGTTAGTGTCTTGTATATGGTCGGTAGACACGTGATGGGGCGGTATTTGCTCGGGTCTGTGGTACCCTGATCTTTAGGAACCAAATGAGTGATCCCAGTAGTGAAGAGGCTTGGGAGCGACTTCTGGTTGAGAGCCTCTTGAAACTGTCGGGCGAGCACAGAGTGACACACCATGAACCCCTTCAGCCAGTAGTGATGCAGCCCGTCAAGCCCCGGACTTTTCCAGTTCGGAGCCCTACGGACCGCCTCAGCTACGTCATCCGGCGTTATGATGACGGGGTTCATGGGCGTAATACTCGCACACTGACTCGCCACAACTTCCGTCCAAGGGCCCTCGTTGTGATTTACGGGCTCTGACCACAGGCTGCGCCAGAATGCGACCATGTCGGCCTGATTTGGTGCAGGGCCCGTTCCACTTACTATTGGTCGCTCCAATGATTTATAGAGCCTCTTCTGATCACTCTGGAAGAGACGATGCTGGTTGAACCGTGTCGACCTCTCGGTATATCGCCGAATCCACTTTCCCCAAGCAGCTATTCTTTGCTTCAGGTCGTCTATGCGCTCCGTGAGTTTTTGCATTATATCCGGCTGGGACAAACTAACATTTGTCCCAGCAAACGCCATCCTGTGGGTGCGCACAATCCTTGGCCTGGTATTGCCTGACCTGAAGCATATCAGTCTGCCGATGAGGGCCCTAGCCTTTGCGATACGTTCTTCAATTCTTATTCTCCAGGCTGGGATAGCACTACTTTGTCCAGTAGCGCGTCCAGCCGTGGAAAGTTATTATTATTATTATTAACATTAATTATTTAAGGCAAAGTAATTAAAGAAAAAAACTATAAAGTTATTGAACTTTTTTGTTTAAGTGGAAGAATTTGTCCTTGTAATTTTATTCCCTTAAACCCTTTGCTTAAGATTGTATAATATTAATTGCTTAATGAGTTAACAGGGGTGCGCTCTATATCCGGTAGCGGCACTTTATTTGGTTTTCTTTTTACACTTCTAAAGGCTCTTATAACGCGTTAACATTTATATTTCCGTCAAATATAGCTTGTAGTCGTGGTAACTAGGAGTCGCTCGCTGTAAATATAATTATACGCGAGCAACTAGGCTTCGATCCCCGCAGGCATTAATGAAATTGTTAATTGTAGTTTTAAGTTCTGATTTATTACGTGATTGGTGGTGAAGGAGAACATCGTGAGAAATCAGGCATGTCTGAAGAATTTAACAAATTTATAAATTTCTAAGACATGAAGTGCGCCAACACGTGAAATCCAATTAGGGCAGCAGAATAGACATTTTCTTGCACTAAAACCCCTCAGGAATGATGAGACGCCTGTGCGCAGGAGTGGGATGTAAATAGTCTATAATATCACTTTTTTGCCTACTTAATAATTATTATTTTTAATTTTTTATGCCAAAGTTTATTAAAGAATGGTCGTACGAATATACGTAAAATATAAGCTTAATGATGCTGTGTTTCTCATGTTGAGTATAGAGAACCGGAGACCTTTTTTCCTTTACCTTAGCTTTTTTGGAGGAATTCCTTCTTAGTACACAGGGATGACAACGCATCTACATTTTGATTCTTAAAATAAAATAGATGTTTATGGGTCATATCATCCACTTACCGTTGATGGACTCTGTGCTAGTATGTCACCCATATCCGATAAAAATCACATTATTTCTAATGAAAATAATAGGGTAGATTTTTCTAAAGCTGCCACACTTTGTGGGTTGGTAACCGAAAATTTTTTGTAATTTTGAGTATTTTCCGAAAAATTGTCACCTTTTACGACACCCACAAAGCGATATGTTTTAGTAGATACCGTCACCAGACAGGGAGATTAATGCATCTTTATTATGGTAAAGAAATATAGTGGAACATTTACAATGGTTCTAGTAATCGTTTTGGAATAAATAGTGATATGAAATTTCATTGGCACTCTTACATAAGTTGTATTGCCACGCTGCATCTATGTTATAGTTATGTATCAAATGGGTCCACTTGACCGTATAAGGGCAACAATCTCTCTGAATATCAGCGTCCAATAGAAGCTTAGAGTAGCTGTGTTTCGTATTTGATGTGCTCCGTGGTTACAACGCTTCTTTTTAATTCTAGGTAAGCTAAAACATCCACTTACCACCTGGTGGACCATATGCTTGTTCATCACCCTTATTTTATTTAAAAAATAATTACAGAATGTATTTTATTATAATCTTTTACATTATATTAATAGTAACATATTAATAAAATGTAAAAGATTATAACATATGTTACGAAAGTACCAGAATGTCTTTTAAAATTTTAATTTCAAAACATTTTTTAACAACACACAACTTTTTAACGTAATTTAGTCGTTTGTTCCAAGTTAATTTATTTATTTCAATTATATTTTGATACGAAAAACGAAGTTTAAATTGTTTCCTAAGTTCATACCCACTCCAAATAATATAATTTAATAAAATCCAAATAATATAATAAAATTCTAATTCAATCGCTAATTCTTCCTATGTTTGATTATGCTGATGTGTGTTACTTAGATGCAGACAAATACTTGGTCAATAAATTGGATCGGCTTCTCAACAACTGTATCCGTTTCATTTACGGTCTTCGAAAGTATGACCACATCTCTTTCTATCGCTCTCAACTTAAATGGTTAAATATCCCACAACGCAGGAGCCTTAGAATTCTTAGCACTCTGTTCACTATTCTTAACGATCCATTGGCCCCAGAGTATTTGAAATGTAAGTTTCAATACCTGGGTTCCTCCCATGATTGCAATCTACACTCTCGTAACAATCTCGTGCTCTATACTCCCTCTCACCGTACTGGTTTCCTCTCAAACTCTTTCGCTGTTACAGCTGTAAGATTCTGGAATGCGCTTCCCCTAGCAATAAGAAAATCCCCCAACAAATGGATTTTTAAAACAAAGGTAAAGGAAAGGTTCATCTGACACAAAAATATATAAATAATCTATAACATTTAATCTATTAGATCCTTATATATATTTAATTAAGTTTGAGCTATGAGTATGTATGTGTATGGTGTGTGTGTGGAGGGGGGTGAAGGTGTATGTGTATGTGAAATTTATCAATTTTAGGTTTCATTCTAGCCCACTGCAGTACACGCATCTCCCACTAACTTTCCGGTCGGCTGGTAGAAAATGCCATATGGCATTAAGTCCGCCGTTTGTACCTTTAGTACAATAAAGTGTAAATAAATAAATAAATTTTATTTTTAATTTTCATTGTGAGACACTTACTCAATCAATACTGTGAAATGTTATTATATATACAAAAGCCACAAGCCTTATGAGACACAAGCCTAGCTTAGTTGAGGACCAATGTTTTTAGTGTAGTATTGTTTCACGGATAGTTAAATAAATATGTAAAAATACAGCTCAAATTCAATTACTACTAACTTGTGGTGACTTAAAGGAGTCCACAACATATTGTAAAACCGTGGGTGTTTTAAGATACGACTATGGGAAACTAAAGGGAGAATATCGCTTAATCGGCTTAATATTATCTATATTGTGTACAGTGTAATCATTCCTTTAAGAAGGCATAAGCGATTCGCGTCGAAAACTTCATGTATGTTTTTTCAAAGGCGATATAGTAACGCTGTGAGCAGATCAATTGCAGAAAATTACGGCTTTAGATAGACGAAGTCTGTAGTTAGTGCACCACAAAGAAATATAATTTTTAATGAAGGTTTTTAAGATCGAAGACAATACCTCCATAGCGTTTTACGAAAATATGTGTCAGAGTTATCTTTCAGGTTGAATACAAACATTATTATAGGCATTTCTCGCCACCGCAACCGTTCGTGCTAAGTCACACCGATAAGTGTTGACAAGTGTCTCAATTTGCGTGGGATCTCCTGATTTTTAGGGGTACGCTCTAATTTTTAGGGGAATTTTTAGGGGTACGCTCCGATTTTTAACCCTTGATCGCGACACTAAGTGTTCCGAATTTTCACTAACCCTCCTAACTCACTAACCTCCCTAGTCTGTATTTCGATCGATCAATTTTACTGCAAAACTGAATATATCTGTTACTTATTATTACATTAAATACTTTTGCTCTAACAATTTCATATTTTCTCACCAAATTAGGACTAAATAGTTCAACATCAAAGTTCTAATTAATCAAAGTCTTAAAATTTGCGCGTAATGTGTTGGCATGGCAAGATACAGACATCAATAATTTTGAGTCGATTTTTTTCTCTCACCGCCTGATGCCTATAGCCGGGTTGCGCTATGCATCGGTGTCACTAAGGCCTGCCGCTGATTGCAATTTTTTGTCACCGTGATTTATTATTACTGTCACCTGCTGTCACCCACGATGCGCTCACTGAATCTGTTCTTGGGTAACAAATCGCGTTCATTTTTGTAATGGACTTCAACGAGGTTGCCGTGATTTGTGCTCTTGAAATACGTAGAAGAAAAATGAAACGGAAAAAACGCTACTGGGTGCATCCTATATACACGGAAAGATTATTTAAAGGAAAATTCTACACTATATATTCTGAATTACGTCAGTATCCACCAAAGTTTTTTAATTATATTCGTATGTATATAAACTCTTTTGATAAATTGCTGGCTTTGGTAGATCCTGACATTTCAAGATACAAAATTTCGCAAAGCTATTCCAGCAGAAGAAAGGTCCCATAATCTTCCTTTTAAAATTATATCGGAATATTGCTTTATATTTTTTGCATATAATGCAGGCCTCTTCTCTACCTCCTCTATTAATAATTCATTGTCAATCTTCCTCTTGCAAAGAAGATGACATCTTTAAAAACAAAACACAGCTATACTTTAAATAGCCTACTTCTACTCCGAACGCGCGGCGCCGGCCGAGTGACAAAAAGTCACCAGTAAGCGGACTCCCATAGTAATGCACAGGGCGAGTGACAGTCACGTCACTCCGGTGTTGCCTGCCGCTGCAACTATTTGTCACCGTATTATCACGTCACCATAATGAGCGCACTCAATATAGTTTTCATTGACTTCATTGACACTTGACTAAGTGACAAAAAGTCACGTCGACAAAAAATTGCAATCAGCGGCGGGCCTAATTCGACAATCATTTATTATTTCATTCTATTACTAATAATCAGTAGTAAACCAATACATTTAGTAAAATGCAAGTCTTGTGTGAAAGTTCTTGAACTAGTCACTTTCTTTAATGGTTGTATGAACTGTTGTTTTCAATAAATAAAGTAACACTATACGTCCGATACAAGGATTTTATCTAGGCTGTCAAGGTTTGAGGTACTGTAACCATTTAATTATGCATGAGTGTGTGCTTTTTGTATTATATGTATGCCGTTTTTAAAGGGCTTTTTGAAGTGCATAGGTAGTGAGTTCAATAAGATTTATTACTATTTTCAGAATTAATTTATTCAGAAAGTTCGGAGTCTGCAACGCAGTTTGGATGAAAAATTATTCGTTCATTTGATCAGCCCCAAATACTAATCATAAAACACATTGAAAATTGAGTCAAAAAGACAACTATAACTAATAGCGACCACAATATCTACATAAAATCTGCTTTTTGTAGTTTTTCTA